AGCACTTTGGCAAGATACTTCATCATTAATTTTTATAAACTGATAATTTTTACATTTTCTCAGCATTTCCCAAAAAACTTTTTGTGTAGAACCAAAAGCACAATAACAAAAGTAAAATATTTAGCATAGAAAAATAAAACTACACTATTACTCACTTGTTCACATAAATGCCAATTTTCACATACCATATACTTAAAAGAATAATACATTATTGCCAGGCATGGCTCATTCCAGAAAGTCAAAGATGACCCTGTATTATAACATTATGACTGTGATGAATAGATGCCCACTAAAAATTCTTGGTTCCCCACCTATGTTGTGTATTGGTTGCTGGAAATGGGAAGTACATTTCCCAGCTATCCTTGCAATTAAATGTGGTTACACAATTGAGTTTTAGGCAATGCAATGTGAACTAAAGTGGAATGTGACACTTTCCAGGTACCTTTAGAAAGGTATAGCTCTATGCTCTTATTCCCAGTTGGGTGGCTGGAATAGATATGATCCCAGGATCTAGGAAGATATATTTTGAAGATAGTAGAGCATGTGTCAGTCTGAGTCTCTGAATGATTATGTAGAAGAGAATTTCCCTAACTTACTCAGCCCTCCAGTTCTGTCCCATAAAAATAAACTTTACTTTTGTATGAACTATTATACTCTTTGTTGCATAAGTGGGCCTCCTCTAATAATATATTCATTAATATAAATCATATAGATGACTTATATTGTATAGAAAAAAGATACTATTATTAATAAATTATTAAAAAAGCACTTGATACAATTCAGATTTCCATCTTTGGTGCCAGCTGCTTCTGAGGTCCAACAGATCCCCCAACTTTCTAGTGGTTTGGTTGCTCATTCTTGTATTCCTAGACCTTCTGGTGAGTTCCCCATTTTTGCATAAGGTAGGATGACCTAGTTTTTGTTACCTGGTACCATGGCCGAACACAAAATACAAAAAAACTAAATACACTATGTTTTAAATAATAATTTTGATTTTCTCCTTGGCAAGCAGAAGAGTTTCCACCTTTAATCAAAAAAAGTTTTGAGTCAATTTATTAGTGTCTTAGTACTTGTAAGAATAAGGGCCTGTCAAGATTCTACCTTCAAATCTAAAATAATGTCACCTATTTTGTCATCCAGCAGCAAGAAATGAGTTTTCGTGATGAACTGGCATATGTTAGTTTGATACAATCACTCATCTTCCAAGACCACTAAATGAACCAAATGTCTTCTCTTTCTGGTGAAAGACCCCAAAACACTGGCAACATTTTTTTGGCAGATAACTTAGCCCTTCATCATTTAAGCTTAGGGTACTATTACATAACATAATGTTAACAATGCATCATATCTTCACAGTGCATTGTATCTTTGACAAAAACATCTGGTTACAGCTGTAAATTGATGCATAGTCATAATCTTCTATGAAAGCCATTATGGGCTCACAACAGCCTTCTTCATGGACAACATTTCCTGTTTCAGAAATAACAAAACTTGCAACAAAGCAGGGCAAACTCCATTTTGTTCTTACAGAATCATTCCTGCTGAAAGCTTTACAAGGAAGCAAGGTTAGACATGTTACTGAAAAACAGAGTTAATGTTTATATTATTTGAAATACGCTATTACCATGACCAGCCCTTTTGCTGTAATTATTTTTAAGGGCTAAGGAATCCTGGGTTTTCCTTACACAGTTATTCACCGACTTGATGTGATTTCTGCATTAATCAAGCAATTTTGGAAACAACTGACAGAAATCCAACTTTTAAAAGTTTAAGGAGAAAAGTGGAGGAAGAAATTTATATTGACTAAAGTACCTAAGAAGTTGAAATTACAAAGCCTAAGCTAGACTGAATCCAGAGACTCTAACATCTTTACTTTTAGATAAATTTTCCTCATGTGGTAGCAAAAATGGCAACTGTCAATTCTAGGCTAGAATGCTATTATAAAGTTCTTTCTTGAACTTTCTACTTTATGTCCTGTGTCTTGTGATCTCCCTTAAACCAGCCACTGTGGTGAGTGGCTACAGTGCATTGACTGGCCAACTCTTGTGATCAGCTCTGTGGCCAACCCTCTGTACTGAAATATGCGGAGAGGCTTCTCCAAGAGAAAGTGAACTCTGTCAGCAGAAAGTGGGAGAGGTACTGCAGCACCAACCCTCTGGGCAGACAAAACCTTAAGCTACCATGATCCACAACAATTGATTCCATTTAAATTAATACCATGGGTATCAAGAGAAAAGGCACCATTATTTCTACTAAATTAAGAAGCTGTCATTTCTGACACTTAAAACCCATGTTTTGCCTTGAATACCAGGTCGAGTGCTGCTATCTCTATACAGACATTAGCTGCTGGCAGGACTAACTCATGCTCATGGAACACACCTCTTTTAGTTACTTATGCATAAAATTATTTTCTAAAATTCCCTTGACAAACTGTCTTGCCAGTGGGTTTCAGTTCCAGGCAAGTTCACTCTTGATTCAGTGAGACTGAATAACAACAATGGAATGTTCTTGGGGTGAAGGGGTTTATACCCAACTTTATTCTCAAGGTGGCAGGTCAAGTGCTAGAATCCCATCCACTTCAGAGCAAGCCAGTCTCTGCCTCCAGGCCTCCCTGCCCCCACAGTCATTTGAGTGCCTGTCTTTAGTGCTTCCAGTACTCCAGCTCTGCTCTCCTGCAGCCATGCAGCCCATAGCACTGGGCAGAGCTCTTCATACAGAGGCAATAATAACATATTGCCCACAGGTATGCAGAGATCAAGCCGACCAGGGTCAGGTGAGAATACTGGCCATAGGAACTTTCATTTTCTCTACACCAATCAATTCCTATTTGGGGAGTTTGTGACTGATGGAGAGTACTAGGGTTGACTCTGATTGCTGAATAGCCCTTTTTGTTGTTCAAAGCTTCCTGGACAATGAGTGAACAAAGCCAGGAGCACTGCTCCATAAACACCATGCTTTGATTCACTGAGCTAAGCAGTCCAGAAAATCAGCAACAATTATGTCTCAGATCTACTGCAGAAAGACCAAGGAAGGGAGGAAGGGAGGGAGGAAAATGAGGGAAAGAGGTGGCAGAATCAATATATATCAAGTTATTTGTCAGATTCTTAGCCCATAATATAAAGTGTACAAGAAATATCTCCTTAAAATTTATTTTCAATCAAATTAACATTGACTCTGTTCCCTAGTATAATGGGTTGAAGGGTCATCTAACCTGTTGTTGGAACATTCTGCATCCTTCCATCTAGAGTTGTGCAGAAGACCGGGATCAAAATAGCAGTAAGACTTTGGGAAGGCCCATCTGGTCTTTGTTCACCCATGCATACTGGCGCCCAGTCACACGCCCTTAATTATTGCCAGTTCCTGTGCTCACCTCAGGAGAGCACACTCTGCAGCTTTCCAGTGAGGTCTGGGGCCCGTAACTCTTAAGCAAGCCTTGGGGGCCTAGGAGATGGCAGTCATTGCCCTCTGAGGGCTTGCCATTACCCCCACAGGAATCCAAACCCCTGAGCATGAGTGCTCTCTCTTCTCAGGAAGCAGACCCACTCCCGCCTTCCCAACTTCTCAGAAGTGCCCCCCCTCCTATACCCCCTTCCCCCTCATCTTATTTCTGACCCATACATCCGCTCCCCATTTCAGGACACTGACATAATCCCCATGGCTTTAATATTATAAAACATGAAGTTTAACAGAACAGAAAGATCACATCCCAGCTTCTGCTTTCTGCAGAATACATTACAAATGTTCCAAAGGCAAGAAATTACAAAGCATGCTTACTACCTTACAACGAGGCAGAAGGGGAAAAGGAAGGGAAAATACCATTTCCCACTAGATCATTTGCCCCATTTCTTTGAAAAGAGGCAGAAACAGAGAAGAAAGAAATTGATGTTTGGAAAGTTTTAAGTTAATTACCAAAGTCCTTCTGCCAATAAGTGGCAGAATTTAGGTATTTTCCAGCCAGTGCTTTTTGCAAACATATCCTAACCATCACATCATTCCATTTGAAACATTTTAAAAATAGAATTAAACTCCAAAATTAAAATCCTTACTTGATTTTATTCTCTTGTGGTTGTTTGATTTCTTCATTTTATTGAAAATTGCTTTAGAAATAGCCTGGGATTTGTCAGAAATAGGCTTGGCTTCTAAGCCCTCAATCATCTGTTAGAAATGTCTTTTCAAACTAAGAGGTTCCATAAGTTACCATGATATAGTTTAGGGTGCAAAATGTTGAAGATAATAGAATATTAGGGAAAATTAGAAGCATCAAAAAGTAAAACCCCAGAACTCCTATTTATTCTAATTCCTTGCCACAAAGTGGGATTTGGGGGTCTTCTCTGACTTAAAATTGTTGCTTCTAGCTGACTTACTCAAAAGATACTGGATCCTGAAGATAATCCATGTGGAAGATTTCCTACCATTAAATTTGTAACAGCCAAGAATCAGTATGTGAATCCTCTGCTTTCACTATATATGTTCGAAGATCTGGGAAAGTTTCCAGAAAGTACGAGGGGTTAGCTCAAGTCCAAATACTATGGGAGAGAAAACTGTGCTGCGAAGAATTGTTCAGCAACAAAACTAAGACAGTAGAGTCATTAGTTCTTTATAATAATGGGTCTGTTTGATGACCACAGCACTGAATCCTAGACCTCTTAGAATTTCTCTGAAATTTGGAATCCTGGAGGTTCTGTTTATGCAGAGAATAACAATCCTAGAGGAGAAATTAAGGGAGCTTATAGGCCATTAGACAACATTTTCTCCGTAAAACAAATGGTAATGGTGTTGGTTTCAAACATTATTACAAAAAATCAGTAAAGCTGCACACATACATTAATGTACTGTAATTGGATATATGAAAAAATAATACATTATTTAAAAAGTTAGTTGTTTTTAAGGCTCAAAACAGCCAGATCTTGCTGGTGATTATTGGTAATTTTTCAGTCATTTTAACTTCACTCAATTTTTGCCGTAAGTTCTAAATTTTAAATCTAATCTTCACCTAACAGGATATTGCTGCAGTCTGATGGAACTGAAGCTGGTGGCTGGCTGTGCGGCAGGGTGAAGGTGGACGACCTGCAGCTAACACAGTCTCTCAGGTAACTGCATAAGGCCCCTACTGACCTCAAGTGAGATAATGCTTACTCTGCTCAACAGCAAGGTCAGGTGACTACGGTCATTTTCTAACCATCATGGTAGGCCTACTGTGAAAATCAAAATAAGTAATAAATGTCATAGTATTTGGTAAAATTTCAAAATACCATTTAAATTCAAGATATTAGAGATAGTTATTTACATGGTGGTTAATCTTATTTTTATCTTATTACCATCAGGTCCTTGGTTTGAAGATTCATCTGGAAGGGTTTGTGAAAACGAAGTTAAATACACTCTACACTTGCAGCGATCAATTCAAAAGGGCCTTTGCAATCCCTTGGCTCAGCAACCTCAGTCCAATTCAGAGGAGGAACCTGCTATTCATATCCACAGCTAGGCTCGTTTGGTATTGTTACAGGTGTTTTCAGTAGAATTTCCCTAAGTGCTTTTCACCTGTCATTTTATTTTACTCCTTGAGAAAGATACATAAGGTAGATAACTCCTTTTCATATGGAACTTTCATTTTCTCTACACCAATCAATTCCTATTTGGGGAGTTTGTGACTGATGGAGAGTACTAGGGTTGACTCTGATTGCTGAATAGCCCTTTTTGTTGTTCAAAGCTTCCTGGACAATGAGTGAACAAAGCCAGGAGCACTGCTCCATCAACACCATGCTTTGATTCACTGAGCTAAGCAGTCCAGAAAATCAGCAACAATTATGTCTCAGATCTACTGCAGAAAGACCAAGGAAGGGAGGAAGGGAGGGAGGAAAATGAGGGAAAGAGGTGGCAGAATCAATATATATCAAGTTATTTGTCAGATTCTTAGCCCATAATATAAAGTGTACAAGAAATATCTCCTTAAAATTTATTTTCAATCAAATTAACATTGACTCTGTTCCCTAGTATAATGGGTTGAAGGGTCATCTAACCTGTTGTTGGAACATTCTGCATCCTTCCATCTAGAGTTGTGCAGAAGACCGGGATCAAAATAGCAGTAAGACTTTGGGAAGGCCCATCTGGTCTTTGTTCACCCATGCATACTGGCGCCCAGTCACACGCCCTTAATTATCGCCAGTTCCTGTGCTCACCTCAGGAGAGCACACTCTGCAGCTTTCCAGTGAGGTCTGGGGCCCTTAACTCTTAAGCAAGCCTTGGGGGCCTAGGAGATGGCAGTCATTGCCCTCTGAGGGCTTGCCATTACCCCCACAGGAATCCAAACCCCTGAGCATGAGTGCTCTCTCTTCTCAGGAAGCAGACCCACTCCCGCCTTCCCAACTTCTCAGAAGTGCCCCCCCTCCTATACCCCCTTCCCCCTCATCTTATTTCTGACCCATACATCCGCTCCCCATTTCAGGACACTGACATAATCCCCATGGCTTTAATATTATAAAACATGAAGTTTAACAGAACAGAAAGATCACATCCCAGCTTCTGCTTTCTGCAGAATACATTACAAATGTTCCAAAGGCAAGAAATTACAAAGCATGCTTACTACCTTACAACGAGGCAGAAGGGGAAAAGGAAGGGAAAATACCATTTCCCACTAGATCATTTGCCCCATTTCTTTGAAAAGAGGCAGAAACAGAGAAGAAAGAAATTGATGTTTGGAAAGTTTTAAGTTAATTACCAAAGTCCTTCTGCCAATAAGTGGCAGAATTTAGGTATTTTCCAGCCAGTGCTTTTTGCAAACATATCCTAACCATCACATCATTCCATTTGAAACATTTTAAAAATAGAATTAAACTCCAAAATTAAAATCCTTACTTGATTTTATTCTCTTGTGGTTGTTTGATTTCTTCATTTTATTGAAAATTGCTTTAGAAATAGCCTGGGATTTGTCAGAAATAGGCTTGGCTTCTAAGCCCTCAATCATCTGTTAGAAATGTCTTTTCAAACTAAGAGGTTCCATAAGTTACCATGATATAGTTTAGGGTGCAAAATGTTGAAGATAATAGAATATTAGGGAAAATTAGAAGCATCAAAAAGTAAAACCCCAGAACTCCTATTTATTCTAATTCCTTGCCACAAAGTGGGATTTGGGGGTCTTCTCTGACTTAAAATTGTTGCTTCTAGCTGCCTTACTCAAAAGATACTGGATCCTGAAGATAATCCATGTGGAAGATTTCCTACCATTAAATTTGTAACAGCCAAGAATCAGTATGTGAATCCTCTGCTTTCACTATATATGTTCGAAGATCTGGGAAAGTTTCCAGAAAGTACGAGGGGTTAGCTCAAGTCCAAATACTATGGGAGAGAAAACTGTGCTGCGAAGAATTGTTCAGCAACAAAACTAAGACAGTAGAGTCATTAGTTCTTTATAATAATGGGTCTGTTTGATGACCACAGCACTGAATCCTAGACCTCTTAGAATTTCTCTGAAATTTGGAATCCTGGAGGTTCTGTTTATGCAGAGAATAACAATCCTAGAGGAGAAATTAAGGGAGCTTATAGGCCATTAGACAACATTTTCTCCGTAAAATAAACGGTAATGGTGTTGGTTTCAAACATTATTACAAAAAATCAGTAAAGCTGCACACATACATTAATGTACTGTAATTGGATATATGAAAAAATAATACATTATTTAAAAAGTTAGTTGTTTTTAAGGCTCAAAACAGCCAGATCTTGCTGGTGATTATTGGTAATTTTTCAGTCATTTTAACTTCACTCAATTTTTGCCGTAAGTTCTAAATTTTAAATCTAATCTTCACCTAACAGGATATTGCTGCAGTCTGATGGAACTGAAGCTGGTGGCTGGCTGTGCGGCAGGGTGAAGGTGGACGACCTGCAGCTAACACAGTCTCTCAGGTAACTGCATAAGGCCCCTACTGACCTCAAGTGAGATAATGCTTACTCTGCTCAACAGCAAGGTCAGGTGACTACGGTCATTTTCTAACCATCATGGTAGGCCTACTGTGAAAATCAAAATAAGTAATAAATGTCATAGTATTTGGTAAAATTTCAAAATACCATTTAAATTCAAGATATTAGAGATAGTTATTTACATGGTGGTTAATCTTATTTTTATCTTATTACCATCAGGTCCTTGGTTTGAAGATTCATCTGGAAGGGTTTGTGAAAACGAAGTTAAATACACTCTACACTTGCAGCGATCAATTCAAAAGGGCCTTTGCAATCCCTTGGCTCAGGAACCTCAGTCCAATTCAGAGGAGGAACCTGCTATTCATATCCACAGCTAGGCTCGTTTGGTATTGTTACAGGTGTTTTCAGTAGAATTTCCCTAAGTGCTTTTCACCTGTCATTTTATTTTACTCCTTGAGAAAGATACATAAGGTAGATAACTCCTTTTCATAGATAATTTTAAATAGGATGATAAGTGGAATTTTTTCTGTTCCTCCTAAATGAATTATCAGACGTAAATTTCCATAACTAGATTATAAGAATCCCTCTAAAGTGAGGTAAAGCAATAGCAGGCCACATACTGCTTCGAGTTTTATTAGGAAACAGCCTAACTGGATTTGATATCCCCATTATCCACCTGAGGCATCACTACTCCTACACTACCTGCTACCTCCCAGACTATGTAGGAAGAGAAGAATTTCAGGGCATAAGACCATAAGAAATCTATCTAGAGGAAAAAGTTGAGGCTTTCCTCTTAACTGTCCATGAAAGAGGTGACAGGCATGCACTCTCACCGCCCAAACAAATGTGTGTGTGTGTGTGTGTGTGTGTGTGTGTGTGTGTGTGTGTGTGGAAGGTGTTCTAAAAAATCTACTAGAAGATATCGGGCATGCCTGTCAGAAAGGGACAGAGGCATCTCCTTCCCCTTTGGACATCTACTTATCCAGTGGAATGGCTGTTCTCCTTCCTGCCCCATTTGGACAGTGTGGCCAAGAGGATGGCAGCAAGACCGCAGAGCAGAGAGCAGGAGTGGTAACACAGCAGCCTCTTTTTCCACCGTTGGCATGGCAGAATAGGTGACTTTTACATTAGGATAAGTGGAAACTGTAGGAAGTAGCTATTAAAGAGGCATCTCACCCAAAACTACCAGTAATGATCATATTATCCCATTTGTTTATGTGTATATAGCTTTCTTGTCTGTTTCTCACCATGACAGCAGTAACTTTTTTTTTTTTTATTTTCCAGTGTCTTCAATAGTGTCTGGTATATGGCAAATGTTAAAGCAATATTGGTCTACTTAATTAACACATGGTGACCTGTCCTGGCCTCCCATTCTAGGCTCTATCTACTATATTCTGCTAGTTTCCCAACTTTCTATTTGACACACTGGTTTACCTGCTCTTTCTGTATTTTAAAAATAGGGCTTCTCTTTCATGTCTAGATTATCAAACCACAACAGAAATTGATCTCACTATATTATTCTTATTCTATATCCTAATTCTTCTTCCTTTTTTTTCCCTTACACCTGATATTTGTCCCCAAACAGGAAAAAAAAACCCATAAACTTGTTTCTATCAATTGACCTATACTGTAATGTATAAATAAAGCAATTATTTGAGTCAATCAATCTTCAGATGCATTCAACATTTGGCCTCATGCAATGTGACTCTCACTTGCCAGGGAAAACACAGCGGACCTCACTTCTGGGAACCGTACTGGTTTTGTTTCAGTTGTAGCCTTGGCAGTTGGCTACAGGGGTAGCAAAAAAGGAAAATGCAAGCAAACATCAAAGGAGTTCAAGGCTTTAAAAACTCAGATGTACCGTTTTCTAACTCATTGCCAATCTCATGCAACCACTGGTATCTGTGAAGATTTTAAAATAAAGTCGTGTCGTTTACTACAAATCTTTTAAACTTGAAATGTGCAATCGATACATTGAGCTGGGCTGAAACCATGAAAATGGGCAGTCAGCTCCAGGCTTTGCCAAACTTTAATCAGGGCTTCCAAATGTAACTGGCCCTGGTAACTGTTTTTCCATTCCTCTCCCAGAGTAAGGAGAGAAACAAGAATGCAACTGAGAGGACTTTTGTCCATGAGAATCTACGATGTATTAATTTTTCTGTACCATGTGGTTAGCTGCACGCAGAGTCGAGCACTCCTTTTTGTTTCCTCACCCTGTGTGGCAAAGCCTAATGCACCAAATTCAGACGTACAAACATAATTACATTTGCCTCTTGTGTGTAGGAGGCAAAAATTTAATCTTCCCTGTTAAATAGAACTTAAAACATTTCCAACTGTAACTCATTTTCTTTGGGATAGCAAATTTAGGGTTCCTCCTCTCCCCCTTTCTCTTAGGAGATTATCTAGATTGCAGGGGACTTCCTTACCATCCTAATATGAGGAAACTACGGCCCTCCCAGTATCCACAGATGCTTTGGTGTATTGTTTAAATTAATAGACCAAAGCAATAATTCCACACAGGAGATTTTTCAGTCTCCCTTCCCCATCCTTGCTGACTCCGG